GCTAGCTTTCAACTCTTGTGCTCTATCAAGGGCAAATGCGTGCGTCAAAATGCTGCTCCTATGTGCGTATACAAGGAAATAGATTTGAAAGGTATCAGTCGCGGCGTGATTCGACATAGGCTGCCGAGTCGTCTTCCTTCGTACGTCTCGTCCGGAGGCCGCGCGCGCAAGGCTTCGAATGACAACCGCGCGTCAGAGGATTATGCTGGGTTTATTGTTCTAGATTTTACGACCTGCCTGGCACATTTTGCTGGTCGTGGTGAATAGCGCTGACTTCACGCAGTTCCCTCCAACGAAAATCCAGAGGCGGTCCGGATTGTAGCTTCCTCTTCGTTTGGTCGTGATTCGAAACACTTGCTTGCGCCTCCATTTTCGTATCAACATACGACTCAACATAATACATCCTGACATATTTTAACTCTCAACCAGCCAAAAGCGCTACTCGCCGCGATTCGCTGCCGCTTGACGAACCGCGCGTCGTAGCGACCCCCGGGACAGACGGCTGATCCAAGCCCAGCTATTCTCCCCAACCTAATTCCTACTATTTAAAAAAAAATTTAACAGCGTTATTCCGTCAGGCGGACCTCTTCGCAGTATCTCATTGCTGACACCAGGACAGCAGGCAGCTGTGTGCCATTTAGAACTTAAGCTAGAGGGCCCAGCACGCCTAAATAATCAGCAGCAGCAGTCCAGCCATTGCTTCGCTTATAGTTCACAAGGAACACACCACAACTTTCTGCAGTCAGAAGTGACAGGACAGGCATGGACGGGTCAACACCAGCTTTTGCTCTTCCTACGGACCCCATCCCCCTTGCCGCGCCCGCATTCAACCATGTGGGGCTTCATGGAGCAGTTACCGCTGCCACTGCTCACGCGGAAAGCGCCATGGCTGCTGCTGCAGCGGTTGGGTCGCAGCAGAAGGGTCGGGGCAGCAGCAGCGGCGGGGAGGAGGAGCTGTGCTGCTGGCTTTGCTTGGGCGGCGATGATGAGGGCCTAGGGCGGCTGATAGCCCCCTGCAGGTACGTAACGTAGCAGAGGTGGTGACCACTCAGCGGGGCTTGCTCGGCATGCATGGGTGCTTTTAATTGCAGTGGTTGGGAGTGAACGATGGGTGTAAGGCGGGTGGTTACAATTATCCTCCGGTTCTGTCACTCATGCTGCATCGCACACAGACACCTGCGTGGAAGCTCCATGCGGCCCTGCTCGCTCCCATTTAAGACACCGAGTGACCACCATCCGTCCCATGATCGTGTCCCGGTACCCCCGGTGCCATTCGTTCCCAGGTGCCCTCGCCTTTGCCACCCTGGGTGCCTCTCCCGCTGGCAGCTGCACTGCGCCGGACGGCAGTAAGTCTCGTTCTTGCTGCGTACTTGCAGAGATCATTTGCCCCGTCGTGATCTTTTGAGTAATGCAGGTTGCTGCATGCATGCCGATGGTACCGGTACATACGCTGTGTCAGGAGGGGCGAGCCGCATCATAGACAACCAGACATGCCCATACGATACCTGTTAGCTTTCCCTTGTTGCTCCCCCTTCCCTGGATATGTCGTGCCGCCATCACACATCTGCGCCCTGCCAATTACAACACCCTGCGCATCCCTCTGCAGGGAGGAGAAGGTGTGTCGCTTCTGCGGTGACAACCTGCCCGACTGGCGCCATGTGCCGCCTGCGGGCTTTAGTCCGGAGGGCTGCGCCGCTCCGCCGCCCCCTGCCGTACAGGCGCCGCCCGCCTACATGCGCATCAGCTACAACGGCAGGAGGTACGGCAGGGGGGAGAGTGTGATGCTGCAACTATGGTTTTAGTTTTAGTTGTGTTCTCTTGTGGAACTGGATACTGTAGAACTGGTGAAGTCGATCGTGTCTATGACGTGCATTTGGTGAAGAGCGAGCCGCTTCTAACTGCTTACCCCCATCCACCCTACCTCCCCCTCTGCACCGCACCGCAGCCACAAGATCCGGGTGCGGCCTGGACCCGACGGCACCCGCCAATTCATCGAGGATTGCCGCCAGCTGGTGAGTTGGGGGGTGGCTGGGTGCGTGGGTATGTCTGGGGAGGGGAAGCGGATGGGGTTAGTTGGGGTGAGGGTGGGGGATGGGTAGTGGGGCTATGGCAGCATCAATGCCGCCTGCTGGTGGGTAGGTGAGGTGCGCTTGGAGGCAACTATTGGCTATAATGCGCAGGGCGTGAGGTAGCCCCACGCATCCGGTACGAATACGCTGGCATAGTTAGGAGCAGTATATGGATAGCACGTAGATTGTGGGGCATTAATAAGACGTTTACGAGAAAGCTCTCATCTGTCGCGTCCTTCAGTCCAGCAGGTCACCACCGATCTTAGTTGTCTGGCTGCTGCTGATGCACTGACATGCACACACGCGCACACATGCCCGTGCTCCGCCTCCGCCTCCGCCCGTGCAGCTCAAGATCCCACCGCACCTGGACTTTGACGTGGTGTTTCACTGCAAGGTACGACATCCTCGTCATCCGGTCCACATAACCCTGGCGCCTTTGTTCCGGACCCGCTTTCCGCCCCAATCCTGAGCGCACGTCGAGTTAAAACTTCCATTTACTCTCGGATCTCGGATTGCATCACATACTTACCATGGATGCATCAGACCCTTCAGCCCTTCCGCTGAAGAATTCCCAGCAGTTCCGTTCGACCTTCTAACACGCCCCGACTCTCCCTCATCCTCCCTTCCACCTCCTCCTGCGCCCCACCCACCCACCCACCCAACAGGAACCCGCCACGCAGTCGGACCTGCGGTTCAGGGGCCTGGACGCCTTCGATGCCGCCGTCTACTGCGCCTCCCTTGCCAACCACACCGCAGCCCTGCAGCAGCAGCAACAGCAACAACAGCAGATGCTGCAACAGCAGCAACAGCAGTTGGGCCAAGCCCAGCCCTGCCCGGTGCCGCCTCCGCCGCCGCCCCCGCGACCCCTGGTTCGTGCCACCAGCGAAATGGCGGATGAGCTAGCTCGTATGGCTCAGGAGGCGGCCGCAGAGGAAGCGGCGGCAGCAGCAGCCCATGCGGCTGCTGCGGCGGCCGCTGCTGCTAATGCTCATGCGGGTGGTGGTCTGGGTATGGGTGCGGGTGCGGGTATGGTTATGGGTGCTGGCGCTGCACGTGATGATGCCATGGAGGTGGACGTGGGCGGTGCACTCGGTGCGGCTGGGCTGTACGGCAATAGCAGCAGCAGCAACAGCAGGAGCAGCAGCAGTGGCGGCGGCGGCAGCTCCGCTGCTACTGCCCTTGCAGGTTATTCCACCGGACTACAGCTCGACGGTGAGGGCGCAGGCGGCATGAGCAGCAGCAGCAGCCTCAGCAGCGGCGGCGGCGGCGGCGTGCCTAGCTTTGGCTACCGAGAGCGTACCCGCAGTCATGAACATCAGGGCACTCGAGGCTACAATCAATTAGTCCCAGGCAGCAGCAGTCACGGCCGTCGGCACGGAGGCCGCAGCAGCCGCAGCCGCCCGTCGCGACGCTCTGGTGATGCTGTTGCAGGGCACCTGCAGCCGCTCGCTGGCAGCAGGCCGCATGCGCGTCCGCCGGCGCCGCCTTCCCCAACGTACGAGTCGGCGTACGAGTCGGAAGAGGCTGAGGTGACGGGGCAGGCGGCGGGGGCGGGGGGCAGCAACGGCGGCGGGATGGGGTCGCTGGCTAGTCTGGCAGCTGCGGCGGTGGGCAGCGTGTTGGGGGCGTTCCGTAGGTGCGGCAACTGGGAGGGTGCGTAAGATGGTGATGGGGAATGCGGGGAATGCGGGGGATGCGGGGATGCGGGGATGCGGGGTGAGCAGCAACCATGATATCAGGCTATGTGTGCGGTGCGGTCGGCGTGATATGGCGCAGGGTTGAGTTAGAGGCGGAGGTTAGCGTTCTGGTAGGCTGCTATTGTCCGGTGGCAGCTCTTTTAAGAAGCTGAAGAAGTTGAAAGAGGAAGGCGCTGGTTTGTCAAGAGGAGGGCGGAGGTGGTGGGAAGGATGGTGTACGATTTGGGTGATGTACTGTGCTTTGGCGTGAAATGTCGTGATTTCGCTGGCGAGGAAAACTAGCTGCGGAATGAGATCTTGAGCCTCATGTGATCATCGGGGTTGGCGGGCAACTGCAGCGGTGAGCATGCATGTCGTACGCGGTTTACTGCAACGGTATCTAAGTAGAGTAAAAACATCACGAGGAAGACATTGAAAGCTCCTCCGCGAAGGTGGAGGAAGGGACATGGAATTGTGTTGCCGTATTGTGCTGGCGCGGCTAGCTTCGGTGGTGTTTGTGGTGTTGGGGCAGTTCCAGTTACCTGTTCGTCAGCATCCCAGGGCCATGGAAGGCGCCGTTTGTTTTTCGTGTTTGTCGAAACAAGATAGCTGCTAGGGCGGTTACCCACGCCGCTGTCGTTGTCCTCGGGGAGACGGATAGCAAACCTTAATAATGATGCGGTGAGGCGCTATGTGGGCTCGCCCTACCGCTTGCACCGTGATTGAAACGGTATTAATCAATTGACACCGAGGCTCCGTGGAAGAGGTCGGGAGGGTTGGGGTAACAGTTGGTGACCTGATGATGCGAGTTGGGCAACATGTACGGTAGTCACCCGATATGTAGGGCCGTTCACGGTTACCTGTAAGAAAACGTTCAAAGCTACGCACATCGGTCCCTACGTTAATTGGCCCAACGCGTTCATGACGGACAATTGCGGCAGCTGGTAGCATCTGCGATGCGTGGCGAACCCTTGAAAGTAGAGTGGTGTCATGCCTTGTCCTCCTGGAGGTGTGTCGCCCAAGAGAGGAGGCGTCGGCAAGACCACTTCTTTCCGCATTGGCATCTACGCAATTCTGCCGACAAGGGCACTTTTTGTGAACCATTATGCGCATTATATAAATAAAAGGGGTTACAAACTGTTGGTTGAGCTCACGGTAGCGCATTGATCTGGGTTGCGCTAGCTGTCAACCGTGAAGTGCCGTACGTGGATTCGTCTTCTGTCGCTCGGCCTTGTCCCCAAGCCGAACGTCCATACTCCAGAGCCCGCTCTTCCACGCACTTCAGGCTTGTGGCTTGTGAGTTCCATCCAGTTTTTTTGTCACCCTTTATATATGGCACAACCCTAACCTTGCTTTAAGCACCATTATAAATTCGCTTGCTGCTACTTTCATACAGCATACTAATTTAGGCTGAAGCGCACCAACCTAGTGGTCTGAGAGGCGCGATGCACTATGAGTGTTCATGTGGTTTCACCTCAACGACAGCCGCGTCTTTTTACAAGCATTTGGCAGCGGCAAAAGGTGACTAGGCTCGCTTATTTCTTTTGCTGTGGTGCTTTGATGTTCGCGATGACCTTTGAGATGTGTACCCCCTCAACTCATTCCGCAGAATCCGGCTTGGGCCACCAGCTTACCCACGCCCGCTTCTCTGATAAGCAAGCGAGGCGCATAGATACTGCTTCCCAGGTGCGACGCGACTAACCTGTCAGGAAGCCACTCCATTTGCATACCGGTAATATGTTCCCCACCGCTTAGACGCAATAGCTTTGGACTACATATCCGTGTTCCTAGCGTCACAAAAGTAACGGCATGATCTCAGCCCAACCGTTTTCCCGCTCTGCCTGATATCCCAGCCAACCGCTGGCAACGACAGCGCCAGCGCCCCAGACCACGGCCGCTTAAGTGACGCGGGCGCCACAAACGCAGCGGCCTTCGCTGCGGCCACTTCCTGGGTGGACGGGTACCTCATGGTAGAAGGCCAGCGTGACGCCGCAGGGCAGCCTGCACAGAACCTCCAGTCCTTGGCTGCAGCTCCCACGCAGTTGCGCCTTCCCGTTAGCTCCTCCGCTGCTGCACCGCTCACCCAGCAACAACAGCGACAGCGGCGATCCGGCCATGGGGCTGGCGGACCCTCACCCGAGCTGGAACCAGAGCCCCAAGGCACCCCGCGGGGCTGGAGCCTAGGGCGGCAGCGCAGCGGTGGCGGTAGCGGACGGCCAGCTGCTGCGGCTGCAGGTACGGCCACCGCAGCAGCTGAGGGGCAGCAGACGCCTGTGGTGAACGCCGGTGAGTTTGGGAAGGCTGCAAGGAGCCCACAGTTGCAGGATAGGGGTTAGCCGTCAACACGTGGTCCCCGGTGGACTGGTTGTCCTGAGTTGGGACCAGGTTCTTTGCCATGCGTGGGTTGACGCGTGATTCACGCCCTATTGTACCGGATAGCGCCACACTAACTCCCGCACTTCCTTTTCTTGCATGATATGCCCATTTCTACCTTATCTCCCACCCATTGCCTCTTGTCCGCATCCCTGCTGCCATGCTGCCATGCCGCTCAACTTTCCCCAATCTCCAACTCCCACTCAATTCCAGACGATGTGGAACTCATCGAGCGGGCCAGCGGCTCCGCTCGGTTGGCATCCGTTCGTTCAACACCCGTCCACGCTGTCGCTGCCGCCGGCGGGAGCTACTACGGCACTTGGCCAGGGCCCGGATCCGGCGGAACCCTTAACGCGCAGGCTGCACTGCGGCTGTCCGTGAACGCTGTGATGGTGGGCCTTACGCCTTGGCGCTGGTTCGGCAACGGCGGCAGCGGAGGCGGCGGCAGCGGAGGCGGCGGCAGCGGAGGGGGTGGCGACATGGGTCAAGGCGGTGCGCATGGGGCATCAGCGCGCAAGTCCCCGGGTGCAGCAGCAGGAGGAGCAGGAGGAGGAGGAGAAGGAGGAGGACCGCTAGTGGAGGAGCCCAGCAGCGATGTAGATGTGGCGGGGACGTCAGCCGGGGGAGCGGGGGAGGAGGAGGAGGGAGGCAGCAGCCGCCGCGACGGCTCAGCTCATCAGGTGGGTCTTGTTAGGCGTTGCTAGGCGTTGCCACCTTCGGCTAGGCGTTGTTGCACGCCTTGGCAAGAGGGCATGTGCCGACGCTGTGCAACGACATGGCTCGGAAGCATTCTGCTTGCGTAGACGTTCCGTCATTTTGGTTCTAAATGGACCGCAGGACTCGATTTCCGCTTCGCTCGATGCCGTACGAGCCGTACAAGACGTCCTCATGTGGCACAACCCCTGGCGTACGACACGCATCTTTGGTGCGGGGCTCTACCTGGCTGTGTGCATGCGACAGCTGGCAAAAGGTGCGCGATTTCCCGCATTTAGTCCATAGGACCCATACGATCTGCCCTCCTACCCTACTCCACTAGGTGTCTATGAACGAAGTGAAGGCCCTCATGGTGCTAGGCATTTGCCCAGGCATGAGAGTGTGGTGGCGTCACCTTCTCGGCGTCCCTGGCTGCAGGTCATGACCTGTTGCAGCCCTCTACAGCGCTGTTCGCTGGCTGCTTTGCACTGCTGCTTCGTAACGTGGTGCGGGAGGGGGTGGCGAGCTACCGCCGTGCACAGCAGCAGCAGCTGGGGCAGCAGGGGCAGCTGCTGCAAGGGCAGGGACGGGAGGGCCAGGCATGCACGTCGAGCGAGCCTGAAGACTCGGAGCTTGAACGCCTCAAGGTGGGACCGTACTTGTTTAAGTTGGGAAGGGCTGTTGGTATGCTTGCGGACACCTCAGTGGTGGCCTAGCTACGGACGTAGCCCCATTTGGTTGGGTACTGCATGCATGCTCCGCGCAGGGAGGAGCTCCTCTGCACCCTATCAATTGCCCTCCGGCCCGCAGTGCCCCGTGTGCTCTGCTGCTGCTGCTGCATCTTTCTACCAGTGTAGCTTTCAATGAAGTGTGTTGCTCGTCTGCATACCTGGACATCGTCCCTCGCCCCCCGCGTCCCTCACTCCCGCCGTCCCTCACCCCACAGGCGACCGCCCAGCTGCAGCAGCGAGTGGAGGCCGTCCTGCGGCGGGCGGCGCTGGGTGTGGCTCGCTACGGTGCGGCGCTGGTGGTGCTGGGGGCGGGGCTGCTGAGCGGGCGGCGGGCCATCACCTCGGCGCTGGCGGCGGTGCTGCTGTGGCTGGGCATGGTGGTGGGGGAGCTGCGGGTGACCTCGCAGGTGCGTATGTATACGGAGAAAGGAGGAGGGAGAAATGGGGTTGGATGGAGAGCTTGGGTTATGGTACCGTGCACAGGTAGAGTTGAGGCTGGCGAGGTGTGGTTGGTAGGCGTCTGGTGCTGATTGACGTTCCGGCAGCCTGCATCTCGTCTGCTTCCCTTGCCGTTTACCGACTCACTTGCTCCGCCTCCCAATGCACCCCTTCCCGCATGCAGCCCACTTTCTGGCTGCTCTGCTACGTCGCCACCTTCACCATCCCCGCCGCCTACGCCCGCTGTCATGACGCAATGGACGCCGGCGTGGAAGCTGCCCTTCGCTTCGTGGTCCGCATCCTAGTCAGCGGCAGCCGCCTCGCGCTGCTCTCCGCAGCCGGCGTGGCGGCGCTGCTGGTTGCCGTACTGCCGTACAATTTCGTACTGCGAGCCACATTGGCCGGCGGCGCTGCGTTTGGGGTGTTGCTGTGGCAGTCTGAGGCGGCCGGGGCGCTGAGGAGTGCAGCTGGGCCCGGCGGCTTGCGGGGTGCAGCGGTTGGTGCGACAGGGGAGCAGGGGCGGGGGGTGCAGTCGTCGGGAGGAGGCGGTGTGGCGGTTAGGCCGTTGCTATCGGAGGAGGGCGCAACAGATCATGTACATCATGAGTGATGGCGGTAGTCAATGGGTAAAGAGAGTTAGTTTATAATTAGTTTTCCGCCGCTATTGTACATACTTTTGAGGGGCAGGATGTTAATTCGGCGTGTCGAGCAAAGTGAGACATTCTTTTCGAGACTGGAAACAGGAGAGGGAAGTAAGGCTGTAGGTGCGATTGCAAGCAGCGGTAGGGGGCCGAGGGCTCCTTTGGGGCTCTTGTGATCTTATGAGGAGTGTCACAATACCATGGCGGTTGGGCCGTATTGGGCTAGCAGAGCGGATATTGTGTTTGGGTGTGGCCCTGTAGTGAGCACACCTGCAAGGGTTCTTACGGTCGCTTAAATTGTTTGCGGAGACTGTGCAGTGTTACCCATTTGGAAAGCGAATCCAGGTGAAGCTTTGCATGTAATGTTGCATGTAAGCTGTACCCTGCTGTGCACTGGCGATTCCTGTTAGTTGCTGGATGCGGGCGCAGGTTCACACCTTAGCCTTGGTGTCCATCTCTTGGCAAGCGACTGGGGTTCGGTACAACGGCTAACGCAAGCAATTGCAACCGGTTAGGTGTGCGGCCCAAACTCAGGCGCAGCGCATTCATGTACCGGTACTGCTAAGACAAGCGTTACAATTTGGGCGTACCTCTCATGGGCACCAGGTTGGAAACCACGCACCCGCTGCCACGCAACAATCCAGGACAGCAAAAGCTAAGGATGACCCGTCTGTGTTCAATCTAGTTCAACCGCTAGGCACATGGCAGCCTCCTAAGCGCAACATTCCCTGAATGGGGACAACCTGCCAGCTCTTCGGCTACTATCCGAACACGGAGTCTTTTATGAATTGCAACTGCACAAGTAATGGCAAAAGGTGCACTAAGCCAGATCTCCCAATCCTATGGCGATAGTGCCCATTTGGCCATGAAGACACTACCTACGCGCTTAGGTCCTGCGGAATCCAGGTCAGACCTATCTAGCCTTCACAGCTAACTGGAAACACACTAGGAAACAACAACGGAAGGGGCTGTATCGCAAGCCCAAAATACTATTGAAGCCTAAACAAAACCTAACCGCCAACGGTCCTACCCAATACGACAGCATGCGAGATAGCGCTGTCATTCCCGTACTGGTTGATACGATCTTAGGTAGGGGGAACATCAGAAAACCCTGAGGTGGAATCCACATGGCAGCACATCCGGCATGAGTGACAGGAGGGCCCTAAACCAGGTGCCGCTGCTGAGGCTAGTATCCGCGCATCGCTACACATGCCCATTGCCTCAACAGCCACCGTCACTCTTAAATATGGAAATCAATTCTTAACGGAAAGTAACCAACCTAGCTAGACAAATGTACTCGACATGAAAAGCGCCACATACGCATATGCCACTAAGAGCAGCTACCAACAGCTAAGGCCCAAGCAAAAGCGTGCGAACCCTCAGTCCTGAATCATGAATGCACGCTACGCCAGCACGTCCTGTTAAGGCAACCACAAGGACTTCACCAAAAATCTATTTCCGTCCTCCTGCCAGAGCCAACTCCTAAAGACGCATGGCAAGACGTACGGCACAAACATATTTTATGGTATATAGCTTGCATAAGCATCCGGAATGTTCACCGGCAGCGTTAAACAGGTTTACCCCGTTGAACGACCCGACCCCAAACGAAGACACGCCAGGTACTTGCTGGGCCAGCGTGGAAAAATGTTAGACCCGGCCAGAAGCCAGACCACCCACTCCAAACACGTCTACAACGCTAGCTTGCAGGGATAACGCTAATAACATGGAGCCAAAAGATAACACGATAGGATGCTTAGCGTCCCAACACTGCTAAGCCGCAGATCACTCAAGGACGTGTGTACAGCAGCGGTCGAGCTCACAGAATGCGGTATGGGATTCTCGATGACACCGTAGAAGCAGTCATGGCATTCAAATTTTCTTCCTAGACAATCACTGCCTAAAGACTGCAACAACGAACCTCCGTAAATGCATTTGTTATTCAACTGCTGCGAACTATGCTGCTGACACCCTGGCCTCACCCTCGACCCCAAACAAACATACCCCAAGTACTTGTAAGCACGCATGGAACATACGCTTGGACAATAGCAGCCAACGGTATAGCTGGCGCCAAAAGGTAACTGTTAGCGCACAAAGCCACTAGGATGCACTGTAGGGCGGTCGTACGACAGGAAGAGTCACCCGCAGGAATTTTCACGACCTTTGAAAGTATGTCTTCCCTAGACGCCCACAGTTAGACTCCCGAACATTCACAGCGGGCACAGATAAGATAGGTACAAGTCACGAGCACGCCTATTCTGCACGGAAAGATGCATTTAGCCTTATGGCGGAGATCTCCATCTATTGCCACTGTCCTTCACACTTCATGTCGGACAGATACCATCAAGCTGTACACATTTGTCCGTGCCAATGTCGTCGCACGCTGCCGTACGTAACGATCCTGCAGCTTTGGGAAAATGCAACCCAACGACAACTGCATCATCACCATCATCTTCATCCCATGAGCAAAGCAGCCGATGTACCACTTTATTTTGTGCCGCCCGCCCTTGGACGGGATCACGCGCCGTACGCGACCACGCCCCGAGCATTCTGTCCGAGCTCCGCCAGCTTTGGGTGCTTGATGTCGTAATCAGACATCCGTTTGCCACCGGTCAGCATGATCTCCCGTGCCTTGTTGTTGTTCACCGTGTTCAGGGGGAAGTCGTAGCGGTCTAGCGTGTCAGCTTCGGACTTCATGGCGTCGCCCAGTCGAGTAGGGCGAAACCTACATGGCATTAATGGAACATGAACAACGCCATGAACATACTGCAAGTGGCTCCAGCAGTGCGAACCCAGTGTGGGAACCAAGTGTGGGAACCCAGTTCGTGCTATTGCAGATCAGGTTTGCCTTCTGCTAACTAAATGGCCAGGCTCTTAAACCCATTTAACCTATAGTCCTCTTGCTTCCTACAGTTACTCCCACTCCCACACATCACGAACCTTCATGGTACATTGTAACACGACGCGTTACGTACGAGTATTCCCGTTAAGTCACATTATCGGTTAAGGCGGTTACCCCGCTGAGAATTGTACATGCCGTACAGCCCGCTACTGGGCGCTCTGTTCTTTTTTGTGTGTGTGACCCGTGAAGGCGGACAACGGGGAATCAGTGGCCCTATTACACCTGCCCTATTAACCATCTGCGCAGAGCCCCTAAACGGAGGCCTGTAGGGGACCCTGACTCAGACTACCTCGTTTCTCATAGTGTCCTAGGCCCCCCCTGGCTTGTACGGACGCACCGTACACGCGTACAGACTGCAACTGTAACACCTTATTGTTATCCACGAACACGTATCGTTGCATGCACACTACTTCACCCTGGTGTCTATCTATGGCAATGTAGTTTGCCTGCGTCCCTGCACAGCTGGGACCCACCTGATCTCAATGCTGAAGCCACGGCTCATGGCATCTACCATTGGCCAGTACTTTGCCAGCTCGCTCCTTGGCCCAAAGGTTCCGTCCATGTTGATGTAGCTCGTGAAGCGGTCTGTAAGGGAGTTGGCTTTACCACAGTACACCGGAACCCAGTTCTTTGCGCGCGGGGCTCTGATGGTCCAAATGTAGTTCCCAGGCCCCTTAGGCACCTGTGCTCGTAGCTCTGATGGGTCATCGACCATCTCCCCCATGACAACCACGAGCAGGGCGTTGCCTGTCCCCACACCGTAGTCCTGTCAAGGAGTTACACGAAGGACAACGGTGTAGGGGCAGTAGATTGTCAATCATGCTGAAGGCTTATGCCTCATGCATGCAAAGGCGAGGCATACCATCTCGCATATTGTCGTGAATTCGAGCTGAATGTAATGATCATGACTGCTAGCAATTACAGTCCGGGACTTCGATTACGGTCCGGGGCTTATAGCATGTACACCATCCATTTATACGTACTCGGGGCACGCACCATGACCCAGACTTCAATGTGGGCCTGAAGCGCTTTCTCCCCAACACAGCCCTCACTACGGTGACATGTATCCCTCACACCTTGGCAATGTCCTCCAGATTTCCAGCAAGAGTCTCTGCGCAGATCCTGCCATTCACAACCGTTGGTAACCTGGACAAGAGGACGAAAAGGTGTGCTCATGTTTTATTTAAACAGGCTCTCCTGTGGCATGGCATATCCAACTATTACGGTGGAACTGGTGAATGCGGGAGTTTACGTTAGTGCACCCAGTGTCCGAAAGGTCTTCTGGGCACAGGGAAGCGGATGGAACCCATAGTTATCCATCATTGCTATCATGCTATGTCCCATGGTTCACCAATTTAATTCCCAGGACATGAAAAATCGCAATTGCAACGCCCCCCCCCCACGGCATTTGCAACGACCTGGAAGATCTACAAGACAGTAACACTAAGCAACGCACCGGCTGTTGGGTTTAGCGCCAGCAGCAATGCCCTCGTCAACTGTTGCCTGGCCCTGCTGATGCACGCGACAGTAGTCCGAGTCAGGCTGGGCCTTGTAGGTGCAGCGCTCGCCGTCTTTCTTCTCGCCCTTGCACGTCTTCTCGCCACCTCCGTTACTGGTGCTGGCTTCCTGGCCCTGCTGATGCACGCGACAGTAGTCCGAGCCAGGCTGGGCCTTGTAGGTGCAGCGCTCGCCGTCTTTCTTCTTGCCCTTGCACGTCTTCTCGCCACCTCCGTTACTGGTGCTGGCTTCCTGGCCCTGCTGATGCACGCGACAGTAGTCCGAGTCAGGCTGGGCCTTGTAGGTGCAGCGTTCGTCGTCTTTCTTCTTGCCCTTGCACGTCTTCTCGCCACCTCCGTTACTGGTGCTGGCTTCCTGGCCCTGCTGATGCACGCGACAGTAGTCCGAGTCAGGCTGGGCCTTGTAGGTGCAGCGCTCGCCGTCTTTCTTCTCGCCCTTGCACGTCTTCTCGCCACCTCCGTTACTGGTGCTGGCTTCCTGGCCCTGCTGATGCACGCGACAGTAGTCCGAGTCAGGCTGGGCCTTGTAGGTGCAGCGCTCGCCGTCTTTCTTCTCGCCCTTGCACGTCTTCTCGCCACCTCCGTTACTGGTGCTGGCTTCCTGGCCCTGCTGATGCACGCGACAGTAGTCCGAGTCAGGCTGGGCCTTGTAGGTGCAGCGCTCGCCGTCTTTCTTCTTGCCCTTGCACGTCTTCTCGCCACCTCCGTTACTGGTGCTGGCTTCCTGGCCCTGCTGATGCACGCGACAGTAGTCCGAGTCAGGCTGGGCCTTGTAGGTGCAGCGCTCGCCGTCTTTCTTCTCGCCCTTGCACGTCTTCTCGCCACCTCCGTTACTGGTGCTGGTACTGGCTGCCTGGCCCTGATGCCTGTCACGGTTATCCAAGCCAGACTGGGCGTTGTTGGTGCAGCAGGTGTCGTCTTGCTTCTTGCCCTTGCACTTCCCCATGTTGGTTCAGCTTACGACTCTGCATTGCATGTACGCGACACCACCACATACTTTGTTATGTTATATCTCTACTCGAAAAAAAATTGATATGACCAAACGATAATAAATGCCGAAATAGTCTTACTGAGAGTACTTCCTTAGCAGCAGATAACACTGAGGTCCTAAGAAATAGCATGAATTAGTGGGCTTCAATAAAAGCCCAAACACAAACAGTACCTAGCAAGGGTAGAACCCCTGGACGGAAGACCTGCTGAGCCTACTTACCTCCCCTCAACCGCTGTGGATGCAAAATAGCGGCGGCACGGACCACGTCCTACAAAGAATAAACTGGGAATGGCTGCGGGCCCCACTGCGGATATCACTGAGACTGCTACCGTTACGCAATAGGGGTGTTTCTATGGGCTTAGGTTTGGTTCTGGACCGAACCTAAGCCAACCTAAGGGAATCTCGTCCCATGCTCGTCCCACCAATACTTAGCTAAGTTGCTGCTAAGTTGCTAAGTGGGGTGACCCCGCTTAGCAACTTAGCAGCAACTTAGCACCGGCTTAGGGTGGAGCGAGTGGAGCGAGTGGAGCGAGTGGAGCCAGCGGGCCCTACTCATTGAGCCTGCAGACCTTCGCATACAGACAAACAGTAAGGGATACTAAGCAAGATGGCAAGGTTGTATAATCGGCATTTTTCGGACCTTGTTTTTGATGGTAAAATGCCCAAGAAAGCAAAATCAACTCCTCAATTGTCAACTTAAAAATGCGTGAAGAATCCTTCATTCCTTTCATAGAGGCTACATTTACCCAAAAGCAAGCACCGTACCTCCCGTCAGTTGCCACATGTATGTCACATTTGCGTGTCTTGTTACGGGTAGGAATCTCCAATTAGCCAGCTCCACTATCACCCCTTGTAACAGAGACGGTCGAGGGTCATCTAACCTATGGTTGTCTTCCACCACACCCCTAGCGTGGTCCTCACAAGCGATATGTGCCTTGCGCTTCCTTAAATTGGAAGGTCCCACGGGCCCCTGACAGCAGCAGCTTTGTCCACTGGCAACGCAGGCCCTTGCAGGGGTCATCCATTCTCTGCGAAGGTATCTTATGGCAGAACCTAGGCTTTCCCGTCCATGTGCTTCCTAGTTCCTACATGCATCCCCACATGGCTGTCACGCAACATGTCCTGTTGTCCCCGTTCACGTGCTATGGGTTGTTCTGTTGCCCGAGGTAATGTAAATTATACCCTTTCCTAACCATCAGGGCCGCAAACGGAAATCCACCCCTGCATCATCTTCTCGCGAGCGCCCCTTTTCTTCCAAACGTGTTGGCTTAATAAACAGTGATTACCCTATCCTGTAAGGATAAATGATTATGGTGTTAACATAAGGCTGGTTTCACCGTGGTTCCTGAAGTCCATAGAAACAGGTCACTTAGGAACACTTAGGAGCGCTTAGCGTACGACTTAGGTTTGCTTAGGTTGGCTTAGGTTTGGTTTCGGACCGCGCCCATAGAAACACCCCTAATTCTGTGGCTCTTTTTTCTCTGTGGCACTACAGAATGGTGCGCCACATGCAATGTAATATTTATGTTAAACAAATCTGATATGGCGCCGATAGTTGTTTGCCAAAACCTGGCTGCGCCCCTGCGCGTAAGGAGATCAAGCTTGTGGAGCGGCGTAAGGCCCCTTTCTAATTTGTGACCGCTCGCCGCTCGTTTCTGAATATGCCGCTGTTCCGCTGCAGGAACTATTCAACAGTCCCTTTATAATAATGGCAGTTGATCAGTCGTGTTAGCGCCCTTGATATGTAAGTACCTGTATAGGCTATGGCTATGGTTACGGACTAGAAGGACAACCTGCCTAACGAAACGAGGACAAGAGGCGGTCTATGAGCGTTTTTTAATGATAAAAGAAGTGCGAGGCACGTACCGGTACCTGTAACCGCGATGGTATCTTGGCCCTGCGCCTGACACCGCCGATGTCTACAGCGTGACTTGGCATCAAGGGTCAATAAATAGGGGACATTTTTGCTATTCAACCGGATTATCGCCAAGGTGAAGAGGATGATCTGGGTCTAGGAGGACCCACGGGCCACAGCGGGTCGTCGGGCTCATGCAACGGAGGACGGAGGACTGCGAGTACAAAGTGGAAAACTAAGCACCATGGACGGTTTACGCGCTGTGTACGTTAATATGGCAAAAATAACTTGCTGTCAACGCAAAACATTTGCCCATCCAGGAGTGCATGGAAGCTTCATCCCTCAAACCCTCGCACATTCCCGTTTCTATCCATACAACAGCATTCCTAGCCTGCTCATCGGTCTGCGGTGGAGGGGGTGTTCAGAGCGGTATCAGTGCCCCACTAAACAATTCAAGTACAGCGCTGCTGGACAACGCAACCACATCAGTTGCCATCTGTTCGTTGGCGGACCCACCTTGGCCCGGCTTGCCTGCTTGGAGGCGGCAGCTTCACCTGAGCGCCAGGGTCCCCACAAGCATGGGTTGCCAGGCAGGGCTACGCTAGCAGGGGCTGACACCTCATCTGCTCTTCAGGGGCCGCTGTTGCCACAGCTCCTGCCACCAGCCCGCCATCCTGTTTCTGCTCCTGCTGTAAGGACACAAGGTCTGTGACACCGCTGGCACCCAGCTCAGTCCTTTACTACCGGTACTGTCGTCAGCTGCAGGCTCCAGCCTTCAGCAGTTGCAACAAAGCCGCACGTATGCCAAGTTTCGGCCCTTCATTCGTTCTCCAGACGGGGCTGTCGGTATTATGGGCGAGTAAGGTGGCTTCAGAGTCCCACTCGACCTGGGCCCGGAATGAAAAGGATGTTTTAATCTAGCCGGAGCAGGATGTCGTACCCAGCTGCCGCATTCGGACAGCTGTATTGGGCTCCTGGAACTGAATTTCCTGGTAGCCTTCCCAACAGCAAGACCCCTCGTGCACTGGCATACACCGTGCGGGTGTGAAGAGTACCCCCGCCTTATATCGGCGCGTCTAAGCGCCAAGACTCTTGTTGCAAAGGCGGTATGGCAAGCTACTATTTGCGCCGTGTCATCATGCGCTGGTCGTCATGTACGACGGACCTATCTCGACGGATGACCGTTGCATAACCATGATAGCTAAATGTAATGCCAGCTTATTTTGGAGGATGCAGAAAAGGTTACACAGCTTAAGATTGCGATTATCCAAGATGGCCCTATAGAAGCGGCGGCTTTTATGGTAGTTTTGTCGTTGCGGCTTCCACCTAGGACCTCTCCACAGCATAACTGGCGTGCTGCTATAACCTCGAGTTCAGGATTGTGAGAAAACGCAACCTGGTGGACTAGCCGACATGGAGGTCGTCGACGACCGAGCTGGTAGTATTAGGCCCGGCCCAGCAGCTACTGGCCTGCTGGCAGTGGCACCAATATTGTTAGGATATGGCTACATTATTGGGGACGATCGCGCGGCTCTCCGCGCATGTTGCCGTGCAGCACGCGGCATCGTCGATCACTCGCTATTGAAAGTCGGCTTCTGCTACTACGACGCGGCGCCCGAGTTCCATGGCTCCTTATCCCCGGCTGAGATCGGCAGGACAGTCAAGGGGATGCTCTTGAGGGGCTGCCGGCCTCCGTGGCTGCAAGTCGCGACGCCATGCTTCCAGGACATTGCCCACCACGAACGGCTGGTGTAAGTCCAGCCACAACGACTAGTATGTATGTCTATCCATCCTTTCCCCAAACCTGATACCCTGCCCATTTGCGCCTGATACCTTGCCCATTTGCAGTATTAAACCTCCCTGCTGTGCGCAGCACTAAGCACAAAGCAAGGTTTACTTCGCTCACCAAGCTAACACCCGCCTCCACTTCGCGCCTCCCTTTCGTCAGGTTGCAAACGCTGAGGTCCTGGGCGGCCGCAGGTTCCATTTCCAGCATCCATTTGGACTGCTACATAGCCCTCACACCCGACATTACATCTGCCATTGCTGCCTTCAGCCCCAACCTGAACAACCTTAGCCTCTGGTGCGGCCCTTTCTCGGAAGAGGAGAGCTCCCATGAACTAGCTCCCATGGCGACCGTTCAAGCGCAGCCGGAAGACATCGAGGCCGCAGGCGCACAGGCGCAGCGGCTTCTAGGACTTACGGGATCCACGCTGGCGAAACTTGAGATCCAGTTGTCGTACAATTCGGAACACATTTGGCCTCAGAGGGCCTTATGCGGGCTAACGCACTGTACGGCGCTGCAGCAGCTGGACCTGTACGTTATGGAAGGTCTGACGTCTGCATGGGGTGGCGGCAGCGGCAGCGGCGGCGGTGGCATGCCTGGTAAGCAGGATTGCGCCCATGTCACATGTGGATGGGCACCGGCTACTTCGTGAAAAGAGCACTCGGAAGCATGCCGTGCCATGTGAAGGCAACCTCCTTGTCCTGCTACTGAGCCGCTCCTAAAGCTAACACACTCGAGCATCCTTGATGCTCTTCCCTCAGCCCTCCGCCGCATGATGGCATGAGACAAGAGCCGTGTGCAAATCCACATGGTGCCCATCCACATAGGGCCTGCGAAGTGCTAACCTACAAACCTGCTCCCGCCCTCCCACCCCCACAAACCTGCCAACTAACAGCAGACCTGCAGCTGCTGCAAGCCATCTCCTCCTCCATGCCCGGACTAAAGTGCTTGCGACTCTACGAGCCCCCGCCGCCGGCTGGAAAGCACAACACCGATGATGCTGCCGCCGCCGATAACGACGCCGCCGCCAACGCATCCATACTCCCTACGGCGACCGCACGTATAGAAGCCGCAGCCTCCCTGGAGTCTAGCCTTGCAGCGATGACCTCCCTCATGTGCCTTAAACTTCACCTGCAAAGGCTGCAGCACTTCCCTAACGAGTCAAGCCCGGAATACCAACCAGATGCGGGGTATGAAAACCTGGAGGACCAGATATCAAGGCTACGGGCCGCGCGCAGGGTTGCAGAGGCTGAGGCGTTGCACGCAGCCGCTGTAGCGGAATGGCAAGCGCTGGTGGCGGCGGTGAAGCACATGCCAAAGCTCCTGGATCTCCGTACTCCGGTGTTGGCTAACGCAGCGGATTTTGCGGCGCTGACCACGCTGACATGCCTTCGCGTGGGCTGTGTTGCGCTTCCGGAAATGTGTGCTGCTGAACGTGCAGCAAGGGGCATCTCTGACCGGTACAACCGCACCAGCGATGTCCTTGCAGGCGTGTATCGTATCCCCGGGGACCCTCTTTACGCGTTGCCGGAGTCGCTGCAACGTTTCGAAACGCACATGATGCTTCCCGCTCGGATTGCGGCGGCCCTGCAGGCGCCGCCGCGTCAGCCGGGGCAGCAGCCCTGCAGCCTGGTTGCAGGCTGCAGGCTGTTCGCGCTGCCTGATACGCCTTGGTCATTCCAGTTCCACTATTTTGACATGGACACGCGCATGCGGTTGAAGCCCGAGGCGGCGGCAGCCATGCGGCTGCTAGCCGCGACACAGCTCCGCGAGGGTTTCACTTTCCCCGCCCATGGTTGCTACCTGGAGCATCCCTGCCGCAGTGTCTTCATTAGCACGGAGGGCATCGCTGTCAATCCGCCGTTGGCGGAGTTGCGAGCAGCAGCGGGGGCGGACGGTGACGACGGCGCTGAGGAGCAAGGCCTTGGCTACGACGATAGCATTCAGAGAGAACTGATCAGCTGCCATTTTGACGCGTGGTTATCGGAGTTTGCCGCGTTGCGACTGAATCACCTGAAGCTGGGTGGGCTGTACCTGACGTCCCGGGATCTGCTGGGTATCGTACATAGCATGCCGGAGCTCCAGGTGTGTTGAGAATGGAGTGCATGGGGGTTATGGGGCGTGGGGTGTGTGTTTTAGGCTTCGGCTCCAAGCGATCGGAGAGCATGTTAGGCAGGAACATCGGACAGCCCAGCGGACACTCACACACCAGCTTACCGGTACGTCCCCCACATGCAGAGCTCCAAACCGCAACCTAGACCCATTTGCAAACCCCCGCAATAATACCCTCAGCACCCTCTCTCTTTTCCTGCGCAACACCTTCCTCCTCTTACCGAGCAGGTCTTGGACCTGTACGGGGCATCCTACCTGGTTTCGGCGCTGCCGGTGCTGGCGGGGTTGCGGCAGCTGCGCTACCTACGCCTACGCAGCAGCAGCTGGGCTCTAACAGAGGAGACGTCCTTGGACCCTACCTTTGGGCGGACCTACATCCAGGACGCCTTCCTAGCCCTCGCGACGGGTTTGGCGCTAGCAAGGGGCACAGCGTCTAGCACCCAAAGCGGTGCTGCCGGCAGCGGCGGTGTCGGCAGCAGCGGCAGCAGCGGTGCATGGAGGGTTAGCGACCCCAGCAGCACGCAGGCAGGCGGAGGGGGGAGCGGGGCGGGATGCGGTGTGAAGGGCAGTGGAGGCGGGGGCGGGGGCGGGCAGGGAGGCGGGGTTGAGGGCTTGGTGATTGAGGTAGCGTGCGAGGCCGGGTATCAGGTGGGGCAGCTGGAGGGGGCGCTCGCGGCTGCATGGGGGGAGTTGGAGCGCTGGAGTGGTGGTGCGGTGAGGTTGGAGTTAAAGGTGGTGGGAAACTGAGACGCGATCAGGCCGCGATGCCGATGGAATACTGTGACGTAGAAGACATAGAAGATGCTGCTGTCCCCGATGTCCCAGATGAGTGCCGGTAGTAGAAATGAGGTTGTTGTTAGAGTTTGAGCAACTACCTCGTCGAATGTGGTAGTGGATGAAACGCATGGCGGAGGCGGCGGAGTTGTCGTAGGGGTGTGTAGGCGTATGCGTAGGGGTGTGTAGGCAGAAGGGTGGTGGGGGTTGCTCGTTCAAGTGCGTCCGAAACCCAAAGCAAGGATTGGTGGTTTCGTAGCTAGTCCAGGGAGCTTACTTCCTGCAGCAAACAGCAGTGTTACGATGAAGGGGGTGTGCACATGCGTACCGGTATCGACGGTATCTGGACCGACGGGGCATGCATGCGCCCCCGCGTTACTCGCCCTTTGTGGGGGCAGGAGGTGTAGCGAGGGTGCTACAAATACCAGTAATTACGGCTGCACAGCATCCTAGGAGGCCTTTTCAGGACCGTTGTTACAGGAGGCTCCCAGGGCACTGCTGTGCCACGTCCATCGTTGGGCTCCTGCATGCCATTGCCATTGCGATACAGACTGCGCCGTTCATGGACCCATTACTTCAGTAACTCATTGAAGTTTGGCCCGGTGCACGCACCTTACTACCGTACGCCCGCTTCTCGTTGGGTAGCAGAAACTTGGGTATCACACGCAGCATCTTCATCACGCCAACTGTAGTGCCACACATATACATACATACTGGTATGAGGAGCTGAGCTGGCATACGTAAATACGGTAAACAAGTGGTCCCGAAACAGCTCCCTGCCCCGTTCGCAGCCGACGCCGACCAGACAGCCAGCGCCAAAACAACGCTGCTCTTTCTGGGTTACAGGATGCTGCTAAGCTGCACGCCCCTGCCTCCCTCCTTCTCCTCTCTCCCTCCCCAGGCTCAACGCATGTTTGTCCCCTCCTTCCGCCCTCCCCTCCCCCGCTCAACGCATGCCCTTCGCCTCCTCAATCCCGCTGCTGCATCACGTCAAGGTGGTAGCTCAGCGGTCGCGCGTACAGCGGCGGCAGCACATGGAACACCAGCAGCCCCACGGCCCCCGCCAGCACACCCACCACCGTGAGCGCCATGATCACCACCAGCGGTACGATGGTGCGGTCGTAGCCCTGGAGGGGGTGATGGGAGTAAAGAGGAAGGGAAGGGGCGGGTGTGGGAGGTAAGGAGGTAAGGAGGAGGAGGAAGCGGGCGAGCTGTAGGGCAAGGTGGGGTGCAAACATGGGGTAGCCGGCCCATGCCGCCCTGCCAGAAAGAGGTGAGGAGAGGGGATGTGATGGAGAGGAAAGAGGTGTAGGTGGGTTGGAGGGAGGGACGGGAGAGGGCAGGCCTCTTTGTGTGGATAGGTAGGCACACCTGACACGCTTACCTCGGCCGGCCTGGCTGGTTTGCTGCCCTTTGGCGACGCCAGCAGGATCAACGCCACGATGCCAAACAGGGCCGTGGACGCCGTGTAGATAGCCCTGCATCACCGCACAGGGATTACAACCCGCGCGGTGGGTTACCACTTTCATTGTCGCTTGGAAATGGCTTCTCGCAACAGATCGCAGAAATCCGCAATGCCCACCACCACGACCATTGCCATCTGGTTCCCGGGTGCTTCCCTAGCAGCAAGTAACCCTTCCCACGCAGCCTCACTTACCAGCGGTACTTTGACCATGATCCGAATATGCATATTACCACCGAAAGAGCCCTGTTCGGTCATAGGCGTTCAGTGTTATGCCATGCATGCGGGGGCTTGGCTGTCATGCCAACCTACAGGAAGAAGAAAATAAGAAAGACGCCGACGCCCACTCCAGCTGCTCTGCTAGCTAAGAGTTCGCGACCATGGCTGAGGTGGGGTCCAGCAGCGAAGACATCGTTGCCCGGCCCCGTGGTCGTCCATTGCCAAGCGTCAAGCGCAAGCCACGAAAGCGCCCACATTATTGGTGTTTTGTTAAACTAAGGTAAGTTATTTTCGTAAGACTTTTAACATCATTGACTAGTGCGCTTTTTTCTTAGGTGCAAAGAAGGTATGGTACTAGCTGGAAGGCGCATTTCGGTGAAGGCAGGGAAATTAATTCATACACTGGATCATAGAGACAATACTGAGCAGCAGTGCTGAGCCCAAATGCCCATCATTCCTGTTCAACCGCCGCATCAGCTGCGAGAAGACGGATCCGGATTTCACCTGGAAAGAGCTCCAGCCTCCCAAGCCGCATCTTTCTCTTCAGAACTAATAGCTTATACCGCGCTGCACTGCGTTTAATTTTAACCTTTCCCAATGGCGACCCGAACAACAATGAGCATGCAACCAAGCTCAGGCTGCCAAGTTAATCGACGCTTCAGGCCATTCACAACCCCTAGCGCAAGTGTCAACACAGCGCATTATCGTCGTCGCCGTCTGAAAGCGGTCGCTGCACTGCAAACCTCCAACGCAACCGCCCGATACAACGCGCTATGGCACGAATTCACAAAGCGGGTGGAAGGTCCGTGTTTCGTCGTTCGTTGCAGGATAGGATGCTCTGTTACCTTTAGTGGTAGCCTTCTAGTCTTGCCCGGCATGTGTTGGTACCATTAGCCATCTGGACTGACACAAACCGTTGACTGTTGTACACCTTCACCCAAAGCAAGATCACGTCGATCATATCCAGCGTCATACACCCCCACCCTTGCTCCGTTTCTGCGCGCCTATGCCCTCTCCTCCCGTAAAGGCGAGTGGGAGGGGGTTACGGCGACGTTCAACTCTGCCGGTGCGCCCCAACCGCTGCCAGAACGCTTTGTCCCCAGCGCCTACAAGGAATGGTGCGTCCATTAGAGCAACTAACGCGCTGAAGGATGCGACACCGATGCAACTTTGATCCACGTACCTGCTCTTGTCCAAGTCCGGTCAAATTTGACTCTTGGTCTGTGATCACTATAATGGTCACATTCACGAAGATGCATGAACGCACGAACCCATCTCATGTGTCATGCGCTCATGTCACACTAATGCTCCGCAGGGGTGTAGAGCTGTTCGACTGGCAAAGCCAGTGCAGCAGCGTCATCGTTGCCTCCGGCAACGACGGCAGCCAGCTCGATCTTCGCAACCTCCTCAAGCGGCTGATGCCCCGGGTGGGATGTAAGTGCTCCTGGGCAGGCATCAAGGGAGCTTGGGATCAGGCATGAGGATTCCCTTTGGTGCTGCTGGTATGGTTGATATGGCTGCTGGCGTTAAAAGGCTTCCAATCCAAACCCTGTCCGAGGATGGATTCCCTGGCCTTGTAAAAAAGACGCTTTGTAATTCTGGTTCACGACCCCCATGCAAAACGCACATGCAGGTATGCCGTGTAGCTGCCTTTTGTCGTACGTGCTATAAATGGTACGGAAGATTACTAATTGTTGGCACCTGCGTGCCACATGCAGGCGAGGCGGACGCTGTGGCATTCGTGGAGGAGGCTGCTGACGTCTGGAGCGCTGATGGAGGGTGAGTGAGGATAACGGTATTCTGCCCATGCCAAAACCGCAGACATGAACCATGGGTCATTTGCTGAGTCGGTGTGCCCTGCAAGGCCCACTGGGAGCTGCTATCAACCAATACAACCTTACCCCAAACTGGGCCGCCTCCTTACGTGCCATCAGGGGCCCTGTCAAACCCGTCGCGGCCTCTGGCAGCTACGTAGCCGCCCCTGCAGAGTTACCAGCTGCTACCGCCGCCGCCGCCTCCACAGCTACCACCGACAGAGGCAGCAGCAACAGCAGCAGCACTCAGCCCAAGCTAGAGTTCTGCCTGGCGTCGCCGTCGTCGTCGCCGTCTGGGGAGCAGCCTGGCTCACGGCTGCGGCTGGTGCTGACGCTGGCGCAGCAGGGGGAGGGCGGGCAGTGGCAGGTGGCGCTAGCGGAGCTTAGTCGGGAGACGTGAGTTGGCTTGGCGTAGCTTGGCGTCATGTGTGCAGGGGAGGAGAGAAGGAGAATACGTGCGGTTTGGGTGGGGGAAAAATGCCGGCGTCGGGGTCGTGAACGGCATGAATCCCATGATGCGTGTGTGCCTACCGAACTTGGCATGAACCTCATGACCGTCGGGTTTGGGTGTGTGGGGGAACGAAATGTCGCTCTTTGTCGCCGCCTTGCCTTCGTTCACTCCAATAACAGATGGTTGCCGGTAACAAACAACGGTGTACAGGTACGACGGGCCCTTCAACGGCGGCGCGGAGTTGTCGGGTTGCGCGGGGGGCTCCGCGCCCTTCGCCCAGCAGGTCCCCACGACGCAGCAGCAGCTGGCGGGCGAGTGGCGGGTACGTGGGGAGGTGCTTCGGTACGCACGGAAGGAGGCATCTGGGCTCCTGGATTTGGAAGAGTCCGAAGCGAGCGAAACAAAGACCGACCCAGATCGTAAAAGGTAAGTCGGAGCGCCCAGCCGCATCCAGGAATGTGCGTTTCGGTGCGGCTGTAGCGTTTGTGAAAGTCAATGCACTGCTTGCGGTACCATGAAGGTGAAGTCCTTGGGCTGCAGTTAACTAGTAACCACCGCTCTTATGAAACTCGGCAAGGCCCTACTTGCGCATTATTCCACCATCTGTCCTGCAGGATGTCAAGGCTCGACGGCCCAGGTGCCTTGCTGTTACCGCTGGGCGTGTGGGTTGGCTGCGATGCCAGCGACGCGGATACGTTGATGCTTGAAGTGGGCGTGCTGAGGGGCGAGACCGAACGCGACCTAGCAGTCTGCCGTTACAAGCAGGGGCGGTTGGAGACAGTCATGTTTGCTACAGAAGTCAAGTAGATTAAATTGTTCAGCAGGTGGTCGTCTGCTTGGAGAACTAGCAGGTTTGCATGGAGCGGTTGTTGCTGGCGGGTCGGGCGCGGCATATGTCTCGTAAACGCCTGGACTACTCTTGTACCAATATAGGCGAAAACTATTCATTCGGAGGTTCATAAATTGTGTCGTTTGGAATACACTAGCCAGCCGCATTTGTGACCCTGGGGACCGCCGGATCACCGGGGCAGCATGCACGCGGGATGTTCTTACTATGTACGGAATCACTCCTCCCTTAAATACATCGTTCTCTTGCAAGGCTAACGCTTTTGGACCTGTAATTTATGTGTATAATATACCGGTCGCGATCCCTTTACCTAAATTATCAACCGTCTGCTCCGCTCGCCACAGCCTCACGCTCTTGCTTTGCTTTGCGCAAGGAGCCTATTAGCACCAAACAGCCCTTTGCCCTCTTCAGCACGCGTTACCGTCAAACCCAGCGCCCAAGCAGTAAATTGGTGCAGCCCAAGCTCACAACCTGCCAGTGGTTTCCTTTCTCGCCTTTTTTAGCTGTTAAGTCTTCATCATGTTCTACTCACATGACCTCTTGGGTCGCAAGACACCGCTGGGCGCCATCTGGTAAGCAGGGACTGCAAACAATGCTGTGGATCGTAGCAACTCCTAGCAGGCTAAGCCGTTTCATTCATTGTGTATGCTTTGCACACGGCGTAAAATTTGTTGCAGTTGTTGGTTGTTTCTATCGCTCTGGTTGCCCAATGTCATCCTCATGCTGGCCAGGGCTGAATAATGTTATTCAGTATTGTGCCTGCTTTACCTTGCAGGACCATGGCGCACGGCAAGAAGCTCAGCAAGACTAAGATTCTTGGCATCAGGGTGTCAGACATCTGGTAAGCAGCCGAGCATCGCCTTGCCGTAACCTCCTCGCCTGTACCGTTCATCCCTGCGAAGGCAAAGTCCGCAATTGCTGTTCCATAATTGCCTTGCCGCGAGGTTAACGCCGTAGCATGCACCACTTCTTGATATGGGTCGTGCCTTTCCTCCCGGATTCGATTTGGGTCATGCCTTTCCGGGAAGGAAAGGGGTATTTTTTGCGTTACGAGTGCTAGCGCAGCCAAAATGACCCATGGGTCCATCTGGGTCAGACATTGCATGTTGGCTGGGCTGTTGGCATCCCTCGCATGCGTACCTAAGCACGCTATGTTGAGTAGCCAGGAGCCATGCTCACCCGCAGCACACCAGCCGCATCTTACCTGAGATTTGATAAACCTGCTACCTGACCCAGCCGCCCTACAGCCCTGTTTTTCAAAGCCCCGTGCCTCTTACTGATACTCAACTCCCCGCAACCCAATTTACCCTTGTCCAGCAAGCAAATCTTGCAGCCCGATGTTCCTCACTCGCTCCGTCTCCAAGGCATACTAATTGGTAGGGCTTAGGAACAGGGCCGGACCGGTACGGATTGATGTGGGTTGAGCCAAGGAGCAGCCAGTCGCTCTTCCTCTAAGAAGGCAATGGAGATGTGGAATTCGTCTCATGCATGCCACTAAACCTGTCACACGCAATCCGCTAGGCACACTAGTTAAAGGCAAACGTTTTTGAACCAACCCAACCCTAACCCCGCGCCTCCCTGTTGCAGGCGGCGTCGTGATCGTCTTCAACAAGCAGCAGACCTACCTCCTAGGTGAGAACACCACCACCACCACGGCCTGCTGACAGCCGCTGTGTCGGGCACATGCGCCCACAAGCATGCATGCAGCTATGGGCCGTACGGTGCTCTTGACAGCGGCTATCGGGGTTGCACATGTCCTACTTCCTTGACGATTAGCCTCCTGCAATAGCGTATACCTTAATCCCTTCGTTGTGATAGCAGCGAAAAGGCGGCATGCGCCCTTTAACCACCATATATGTTAGTCTATGTGGCGGCTCACCTCCATTGCCTACCTCACCGCCTCCGCCGCCTCCGCCTGACGGTGCCATCTTCCATTCCTTCCCCTCCACTCCTTTCTCCCTCCACTCCATTCTCCCCCCCCCCTCAGAGGACCTGCAGGAGATGCTGAAGAAGGTCAAGGCCGCCAGCGCTCCTGAGGCGGCGGCGGTGGCGGCGGTTAACACGGTGCTGCAGAAGGGGCGCGACAAGGCCAGGTGCGTGGGAAGCACATGACGGGAGCGTGGTTGCTAAGCCGCTGAGTTGCTAAGGGGCTGAGGAATTGGGCTCTATATGCGCTGGCTAGAGACTGTGTAGGACGACATTGTTCATGGTGGTAAACAGAGAGACTTTTATCTGTATGCAGCATTGTTTGTGCGTGTACGCAATGTTACGCGCGTCAAGTTTAGGTATAGAGCAAAGATATTAGTTCGTCCTAGCTTCTCCTTACCATGTTGCGACCCCTCTCGTCTGATACCACGTACCACCTTCACCTCCTCAACAGGGTTGAAGCCATCACTCTGGCTGAAGACCACACACTTATGTTGCCAACCGACCTGGGTGCGATCCAAGATCTCGAAGATCTAGATCTCGTGGACCCACATCTCAATCGCCGCGGCGGCATCCTCGCCGGATTCGACATGGACGATGAAGACGAGGAGTACGACGACCCAGATGGGCCCGGCGGCGGCGGCGGGCGAGTGGGCCGAGGACGACGAGGCGGCGGCGGTGGTGGCGGCTCAGATCTACCGGACGACTTGTTCGTGCTTCCTACACTGGCTACGCAGAGCGAGTATGAGGGCCCCAGCAACGGTAGGTAGGGTGGGTGTGTGGGTGCTTAGGGAGGGGGGAGGGAAGAGAATGAGGGAGCTTGACTTGCGGTGGGATTGATATGCTCTGTTGGGGGCGTGTCTTACACATATTGGAAAGCAGACCGTGTTTTTCACTGAGTTCTGATCTGGGTCGATTGGATCTGGTTATTACAAGCCGTATTTGGTTGGGAAAACCACGCAAGACATTACCCTCACGTGCTACATTCTTTCCATTCTTAACCTTTCCTTACCCTCCTTACCTTCCTCCCACCCGTGTGCTTCCCCCGCTGCCTTCCTCCCTAACAGGTCCTCGCTCCAGGCAACTAGGCGCCAGCGGCTCTGCTGACCCTCCACGGGTCCAAGACCACCAGGAGATGTGAGTGGGGAAGTGGGGAACAGGTCAGGCAGGGACAGGGATTGAGTTAGGGGCGGCGTTGGAGAGCTCAGCGACGTGCGGGTTGGGTTGGCTGCGCGCATTCTGCTAAGCATCAAGGGCGATACAGATGCTGCTGAGCCTCCCTGTTTGATACCAGCAAACGGTGGCTCTTTTAAATGACTTCCAAATCTGCATCCTTCCATCATCTCTTTTCCCCCCCCATCTCTCCTCCGCCTCTCAGGGATGAGGACCTGTTCGAGGCTCCCGACCTGCAGCTGCTCTTCGACCCGGACGAGCAGGGAGCGGGGGACGGCTACTTCCTGGCGCTAGGTGGGGGGCTGACCCGCGGGTCACTGGCGGGCCGTCCTTGGTGGCAGCCCTGTTATTTACAGGCAGCAGATGTGTCACGTGTCATCCGTAATACCATCTTCATGCATATGCCGATGTAAATATGATGATTGTCAACACTCGCTCTCCACGCACTCCCACTGACCCACTCCCACTGACCCACTCCCACTGACCCACTCCCACTGACCCACTCCCACTGACCCACTCCCACTGACCCACTCCCACTGACCCACTCCCACTGACCCACTCCCACTGACCCACTCCCACTGACCCACTCCCACTGACCCACTCCCACTGACCCACTCCCACTGACCCACTCCCACTGACCCACTCCCACTGACCCACTCCCACTGACCCACTCCCACTGACCCACTCCCACTGACCCACTCCCACTGACCCACTCCACTCCCACTGACCCACTCCCACTGACCCACTCCCACTGACCCACTCCCACTGACCCACTCCCACTGACCCACTCCCACTGACCCACTCCCACTGACCCACTCCCACTGACCCACTCCCACTGACCCACTCCCACTGACCCACTCCCACTGACCCACTCCCACTGACCCACTCCCACTGACCCACTCCCACTGACCCACTCCCACTGACCCACTCCCACTGACCCACTCCCACTGACCCACTCCCACTGACCCACTCCCACTGACCCACTCCCACTGACCCACTCCCACTGACCCACTCCCACTGACCCACTCCCACTGACCCACTCCCACTGACCCACTCCCACTGACCCACTCCCACTGACCCACTCCCACTGACCCACTCCCACTGACCCACTCCCACTGACCCACTCCCACTGACCCACTCCCACTGACCCACTCCCACTGACCCACTCCCACTGACCCACTCCCACTGACCCACTCCCACTGACCCACTCCCACTGACCCACTCCCACTGACCCACTCCCACTGACCCACTCCCACTGACCCACTCCCACTGACCCACTCCCACTGACCCACTCCCACTGACCCACTCCCACTGACCCACTCCCACTGACCCACTCCCACTGACCCACTCCCACTGACCCACTCCCACTGACCCACTCCCACTGACCCACTCCCACTGACCCACTCCCACTGACCCACTCCCACTGACCCACTCCCACTGACCCACTCCCACTGACCCACTCCCACTGACCCACTCCCACTGACCCACTCCCACTGACCCACTCCCACTGACCCACTCCCACTGACCCACTCCCACTGACCCACTCCCACTGACCCACTCCCACTGACCCACTCCCACTGACCCACTCCCATGTCCATCACACACAGGCGGGCTCAGCGCACGAGCCGCTCAGGAGCTCCCTACCCCAGCGGCGACCGGCACCACCACCGCAAACGAGCCCTCCAAGAAGACAACCATGCGCACCCTCAACGCAACCGCAACGCCCACCGATGGCGTCGCCGCAGCCGCCATCACCGCCGCCCTTGCCACCGCCGGCCCGGCGGGTTTTAATCTGTACGGCGATACCCCGCACAACGTCTTCCAGGAGCTGCCCACGGACCTCATGGAGCTCCCCGATGGAACGCAAGACGTTGCAGAGGGGCAGCTGCAGGGGCGGCCGCGGTGCCGGCGGGGAACGGGTCCTTCCGGGGGAACGCAAGGGGAGGAGGAGGGCTTGGAGGAGGAGGTGGGAGGAGATGGAGGCGTGGAGGCGGTGCCGCAGCGTTCCGAGTCCATGGTTCCCTTCACGAGTGTGGGGCAGCCGCCGGAGCACTTCATGCCGCCCTCGCCGGTTCTTGACGGTGAGTTGTGGAGAAACGGTTGGAGGATTTGCAGGTTGCGAGCCGGAAGCCTGGAACTGGGGGCTTTGGCAGACAATTGTTGAGAACCGGTCCTCCTTGTGAGTACGGCGCGGGCGTTGCTTGCCAGAGTGCGTGCCGTACGTAAAAACAAATGCAGCTCACTGCTCTTAACCTCTTAACCTCTTAACCTCACGTTTACCTCACCTCCCTAACCTCCCCCTTGACCTGGGTGACCTCCCAGGCGACGAGGCATTCAATGAGCTCCATGCAGGCCCCGGCGGCGCCGCTGCCGTCGCCCCCTCCGCCAGCCTGCTCCCCGTGCCCACCACCTCCGGCGCCGCCGTCAGCACCGGCGCCGCCGTCAGCGGTGGACAGCGCAGCAAGAAGCGCCGTACATCTGATGAGGACAACGACAGCGTTAGTGAGGCATCGTTGCTGGTGGATCGGGAGCAGGAGGAGGAGCAGGAGGCGCAGATGAACGGGGCTGCGGGCGCTGCCAGGGTAGGTAGCCTGGCGGGAGGGGGAGGGAATAAGCTGATGTGGGGAGTTGTTGTTAAAAGGAAAAAAGGCAAGGGATAAGGTTCAGACTAGGCCCGTTTCAGCGGGATGTGGGGTTGCACGGGATACGGTACCCTTTGTTACGAAACTTATGCCTTAGCTTGCTTTCTTCAAGGGTTCTAGGTCACGTCGCGTCGCACCCGTGTTGTACCTAACAACTACGCAGGGCGGTCGGGGAGGTCAGCGTCAGCAGCAGCAGGGCGGCAAGCCACGCACCCGGCGTCGCATGGGAGCCCGAGTGACACTGGACAGCTTGGAAGAGACCCTGGTGGGTGATGTACGGTATTGAACCGGGGACCGGGGACCAGAGGGTGGAGGACGGGATCGTAGTTGGGGCAAGGGTTAGAACATGGGGAACGTGGAGGCTTGGCTTATGGGTGCGGTGCAGGGCTGTAGCTACGCTAATAGTAGCTGATGCTTGCATCTACATTATGACGAAGGGCACGGACGGCTACGGCCTGCACATGTCGTGTGTCTTCACCTCCGCTGACCCATGGGTCACTTTTCGTTTCCGACACCCCAGGTTCGTGGCAAGACCTACCGCGAGTGGACCCTGGATGCACGAGAGCTCATGGCTCCGCGGCGCAACCACAGCCGCCTGGGCAGTGTCAACCCTTCTGCGGCGGCGGGTGTCGTTGCTTTCGCCGTTGGCAGCGTCGGCAGCGCCGCCGCCGCCATCACTGGCGCCGGCATGAATGCGGCACTGGCGGCGGCATTGGCGACGGGCGACGCGGACGCCGCCGCGGCGGCGGTGCTTCGCGCCCCGGCGGCGGTCATGGGCGGCATGGGCATGGGCTGGGCGCCGCACCTAACGCGGCTGGTGTCGGCGGCGGCCGCAGTGAAGGCGGGGCTTGATGAGGATGCCATTGTTGACGGCAACGCCGCCGACGTCCCTGCCAGCGGCGGCGCTGCCGCTGAGGGTAGGCGGTCCAAGCGTCAACGCACAACCAAGAAGGCTGACAGCCCAGAGCTCTCCACTGACACCGGCGGCGCCGAGGCGCCCCAGCGAAGCGCTCAGCCGGAGCGTTCAGTCGCCTCGGACGTTGATGGGGAAGACGAACGGTCGCGAGGGGAGCAGCAGGGGCTTCACGAGCAGCAGGAGTACGACGGTATTAGCAACGCGGGGGGCGCTGTCGCCGCGCCGGCAGACGACATGGGCATGGACTTGTACGGCGGCATGGAGAGCATGATGCCGCCGCCGCAAGAAGATGAGGAGATGTTCGACGACGACATTGAGATCGAGCGATTGCGACGAGACGACGGCGCCACCGACAGCGACGCGGAGCGGCAGCGTCGAGCCGCACTGGGCCTTACACCCAACGCCTCCGGCGGCATGACGGTGCCTAGCACGCGACGCGGCAGCAGGGCCACCACCAACAGCAAGGGGACCAGCAGCAGTGGCCTGGGCCAAGAGGAGGAAAACGAGCCGACTATCGGCATGGCCGGGTGAGATGCCGTAACTCCCGTACGATACCGGTGTTGATGAGGACAGGTACAGATGCGAAAGATGTAGTGTCAGCAATAACGAGCCGCTAAGGTTAGCAGGATTAGCAGGATTAGACTTTATAACGCGAGTGAGCTCCCTGCTTGTTTGCATCCGCATGGTTTCCATGCTAAACCATCACCATCCCTTTCATCCTTGCAGGCGCAACAGCAACGGCCACAGGAGCGGCCTGTTCAGGTTCGGCACCGGTGCGATCGAGGACTTGTTCCCCATCGAGGAGGGAGAGGCCAATCCCGATATGATGCTAGACTGGGAGGAGGAGGAGGACGAGGAGGAGCAGGTGCGTTGCATGCATGCACGCATGCATGCATGGGGCAAAGCGTGATGGGGAGCATGCACCACAGTCCATCTGCGCGTCGTTTGGAGTCCTCCATGCTGAGCTACGCGCTGCCTTCCGTTCTCCAAGCTTGTAACTAAACAAGACCCCCATCATGGACGTGTTTCCAACATTGACCCTGATCACCCTGGTCACGTGCGTTGCTCCACGGCTTCTTCCCCTCCCAACCCCTCCCTAATCCTACACCCTCCTCCTCCCTCCGCAGGACGGCATGAACCTGCTACCCGACACCGTGCCTGCGGGAAGCAACGGCGAGGGCTCCAACTCCTCACGCCGTCCCGCCTCCAAGAGCCGTCGTACCCGCACCGGTACCCTGCTTGCGGCCACCCAGACTGGCACGGGCACAGGCACAGGCACAGGCACAGGCACGGGCACGGGCACGGGAGGCGACATGGCGGGGACGTTCCGCCTGCGGGAGACGGATGGCGCGGCCACGCAGGCGCCGGGGCAGGGATACGTCAGCCGTCACACCCAGATGGTGATCTCGTAAGTGCATCCCCGGGAACAGAACCATTGCGCCGGTGTATGTGCTTGTGCGTCTGCTCCTGCTCCTGCACTGTGCTGGTGATGATCGGGATGGGCTGGTTGCGGCTCTGTGACTACCAGGTACAGCAGGCACTGTTTGTTTGGTGCACATTGCGTCAAGGTACGACTCGGTTAGCTTTAACGCTGCAATGCAACGTCCCTGCGTCTCCTTGCGTCTGTCGGCAACCTCCGGGACTCCTACCGACGCCAATTCCAATTCCAATCAACTGAGAAGCCCTGCGTAACCAGGTCACCTTGACCGCACCTCACCCCACCTCGCCGTACACTCTCCCGTACAGCATCTTCCGCAAGCGTCTGGGCGTCCTCGCCACGCAGCTGCCCGCCTCAGCGGCTGCTGACGCCGATGGCAGCGGCGGCGGCAGCCCCTCTGAGCCTCCGGGCCTGTCGTTCTTCAGCCTGGCCTCGCAGCTGCAACGCGCCGAGGCGGTCAAGCTATTCTACCAAACGCTTGTCACCCACAACATGGGCTTCATTCGAGGCACCCAGACGGAGGCCTACGGCGACATCACGATCCGCGCTGGGCGCTTCCTGTGAGGGGGCAGCGCATGTAAAGCCCAGGCAGCTTGTCCCGGGCAGCTTGGTTATAAGCATGGAGAAGATGTCATGTGAGGTGTACTGCGACGTGCGAGCGTTTGTGTGAAATTGGCGAATCGGGAGGTATGATGTAAAGGGGAGGGTTGGTGGTGTGTATGGAGCAAGGTACAGTATGTACATGAGCTTGTTTGGTTCTGTTATTGGGACAAGGATGCAGTGTTGGTAAGTGTGAAAGCCGAACCATGGGTCGGCGTATGCATGGATGTCTGGACAGACGGCAGGATGTATGACTACAGTATAACACTAGGGCCCCAACTGGGCTAAACGACGATCGCTTCTGCCTAGGAGCGATCGCTTCTGCCTAGGAGCATGCAAACCGGAGAATTACAGGTTGAATTGCCCGCTTAAGGGAGCCCGCTTGACTCCTTTAGCTGTAAAATAGCTACTTCATTAGGATCACTACTGTGTCATATCCTTTAATTGACGTATCCTGGCCCAGCAGGGGAAACATGTGGGAAACACCGTCACCGTACATCCCGCACACGGGACAGTCACGTGCACGGCACATGCATGAGCGCATTCGGTCGGGGAGCTGTTACACAGTGTTCAAGGCTAAAGGTGGCGCCTTGGTTCCGGTCGGACGGTGTTGGCCATAGCGGTGAGCGGGGCGTTCGCAGCTCAATTCTGGGGGTGTTGCATCCGCTGCTGACGGCTAGTTCCCCTTACGAGGTTAAGACGTTTCGTCCGTTACTTCTAGTAGACCGTCTGCGGTTACAAAGCTGTGCCAAGAAAAGAAAGGGGAGCAGCAGCTCGGCATGCCAGCTGCTCGGCTCGGCTCGGCACGCCAGTCGCCTGGCTTGCTTTATCGCCGTACAGGTTAGTGCATAACTTGCCCGGCTCGCCCATATAGACTAGGTTGCTAGGTTGCTAATTCTTTTGCTATTGGCAAAGCAAATATCAGGAGGTTCGCACGTGTCAAGCTTGCCGTGTTTTCCGTACATGTGGAAGTTATGGGAGGCATACGCTGCTGCAGCACAGCTAGGACACAAGCGTGTATTGCAGACGTTTTGTCCAGCCAGTAGCACATTGCCACCGATCAATACAACTTCTGCCAACTGTCGCACTTCAGTTTCCTTGCTAAGTTATCACCGTTTATTGCTAAGAGAATTATTTTTTAGCTTACGAAAGAGTCTTCTTAGCGATCTATGGAACATTAGACTTTTTGAATAGAGTTCTGCGTCACCTCACCAATTGAGAAAGAGGAAGGCACGGCGTTGCAACAGTAAGCCCTATGGTGCGACTAACCCTAATAGCAAGAGTACAAGATGGCTTGCCCTTGGCGGAGGGCCTGGATAGCGAAAAAGACGCGGAGATCGACGCGTACAAGTCGCAGGCGAAGGTGGGCACGGTGTCCATGCCTTGCTCCGTACTTGTATCTGACGCCGCAATGCCTTTCCTGCAGAGCCTCTTGAAAAAGTTTTCACAACAGCCTAGCAGCCAAGCGGCTCGGCTGTCCGTGGAGTCGGGCAAATACACATTCCACTACCTGATCGATGGGGGCGTTTGTTACCTGACGCTCACGGAGAAGGGCTACCCTAAGAAGCTTGCCTTCCAGTACCTCGAGGAGTTGACGAATGAATTCAGCCGGTTGTACGGGCAGCAGGTGCACACCGTCAGCCGGCCATACGCCTTCATCAAGTTTGGTAGGTGGCCGCACTGCTCGAGCGAGTTTGCGTGCAGGGCCCGTAAGCGTTCATGTCGCGGGGTTCGGGAACGCTGGCGTGGGGCGCAGGGCTTGCAGTTTCTTGGGTGCCAGAATTTGTCAGGTGATGACCAACTTGAAGCAGTCATGCAGCCCACGGGCTGCGGGCAACACCCTTCTTAGCTGTGAACATGCACGGCTGATCTGCCCGCTTCTTCTGATCCAAACGCCTGCAAATAGCAGGCTGAACCATAGCTTCCCGTCATGCTGCTAATGCCCTGCCCTGGCTGCCTTTGCGCAGACACGTTCATTCAGAAAACGAAGAAGCTCTACCTGGACACGCGGACTCAGCGCAACCTCTCCAAGCTCAACGACGACCTTGCTGAGGTGCACTCCATCATGACGCGCAACATCCAGGAGGTGCTCGGGCAAGGAGAGAAGCTGGACAGTAAGTGCGCCTTGGCCTGTTTGGCTCCTTCTCATACCGCCTGTACTAAGCGTGAGGACCAACCTGCATGCTTACACGGTTGGCGTGCATGCACGGTTGGCGTTCCCACCTTTGAAATAACGCAGTAAACTTTAGCCATTCAACACTCCTGCCTACAACATGGCGTGCATGAAAACGAGTTCGCCTCTTACCGAGCTACGCTACACCCCTCCACAGGCATGGCGAAAATGTCTAGCACGTTAGCGGCGGAGTCAAAACAGTATGCGTCTCGAGCCAAGGACCTCCACCGGCAGGTGAGCAGCGCGCAAACCATACAAGGAAAGATTCCAGGCAATAGGCCATGCACCATATTAGCATCACCTGTCGGACTCTCCAACGCCGTTACAACATAAAGCCAATGCAATGTAGGCCTTGATGCCCTAATTCCATGAGGTCGTTCTTGAGGTTCCCTTTCCAGCAGCTAGGCTTAATCCCTAAAGCTGTTGTCGCACCCTGTAATACTGTAGCACCCTACCAAAGTCAGTCACTACAAGTTTTTCGTCAACTCCCATTACCCTAATTCTGCTTCACAGGCGCTCATTCGGAAGTACGTGCCATTGGCGGTGGTGGCAGGGGTGGTGCTGCTGCTCCTCTGGATCCGCTCCAAATACTACAAGTAGTGGACGAACTGCGGCGTGGCGTTGACCATATGTTGACCAGCGTGACTGTAGCTAGTTGCGAGTGAAGAGCAGCTGACAGCGTAATTGACGGTGCATGGTGGATGACACCAAGCGCTAGCGGGGCCAACGGTGCACCACCAACACTCGCGCTGCTGGCGCGGTTTCAATCATTTTCGGGCGACGTGGTGGCATTCGTGTGTAATGACAGCAAGAGGGATCGGAACTCCCTGCCCAATCTACATGCTGCATCCATTTAGCCGCCACACGCAACCACAGCCGAGCTCCAAGCATCATCACACCAGCACCTAAGACACGTCGCCAACTGCTCGTTCACTCGGGTTTGTCCGTCTCAAACGTCGAGATGTTAATTGGCTCGAAGCTCCCGTCTGCAAGGAAGGGCGAGGGGAAGTACAGTGAATACAAAGTGTGGCAAAGCAGCCGCGTGCCGCATAGAACCTACGCAGGGGGCTTTGTTGCATGTCAGGGCAGCCACTTAAACCGTAGGGACAAGCCCGACAACTCAGCCGTACAGTACGGACCTGGCAGAAGGTAGCAGAGCGCCAACACGTCGTCGTTCTCCACTTTTAGGTCGATCAGCTTCCGTGCATCCTCCAGGACCGTTTGTCCCTTGTAAAGTTGCTGACTCTCAGGCGGCTGCATGCAAAACATACCCCGTGGGTCCTCAACGCTTTCTAGGCGGCATACCATGGCATATTCCCCGCTGTGCGGCAACTCGAGCATGCGTTGTTCGCTCCACTCCGCTGCTCTTCACGCTGATGCATGGCACCCACGATATAAGGCAAGGGTGCGCAACCCCGCAAGCAGGAAAAGCGGCACACCTGGTCCACCAACTCCTGCAGTTTCTGCTTTACTTCCAGGACGGTATCAGTCGGCTCCACATGGAGGAAGTATGTGGTCTTAAGTCGCTTTACCCGCACGTACATGGACTAGGCGCCAAAGATGCAGCGAAATGTCAAGGTTACAGATGTTGGCAGGGCCATCCCCCAATTCCTCAAGCACTTCATTGGGTGCTTCCTTACCATTTTGGCTACTTGCTGCTGCGGCGCTCCTACAACCTATTTCCGCGGCCTTGGCCACGACCCGATCACTTTCAAGTGCACCTTCGTTTGTTTTCCTTGCACTATAACCAACGCTATCGCTACACGTCCGACAATAAGACGGCAGGAAGATGAGGAGCTGTTATAGGCGTCACAGGCCTTGAGGTTCAACGTAAAACGGGAGTTGCGTTGTCCACAGGCAAACAGGTTGCAACTCCATAGCGAAGTGAAACCCAAAGCTAAGAACCTAGTCTCGTACGGCAATCAACTACCGCTCCCATGCGATGAGAAGCATACGGAGCCAAGTGATCAGAAAATCGTAAAAAGCTTGAAGTACCGGTATGAAAACCCTATTTGTTCATCTGATAAGCTCCTTAACGCGACCTGAGCGCCATCTGCACCAAGTAGGGTGTCGCATTGCGAGAATGGACGACTCACCCGGTAGTGTATAAGAGCTGACATTCAAAAGCCTTCGCTTATCTGCACGTGGAGTGAAAGCACACACTTTCGGACATTCGGAGCCATCTACCCCGGCTGGGTAGCCGGCGCAGCTACCCATCTGCTGCTTTGGGCAAAGTTGTGATCTGGCGGGGGCACAGATAGCAGCGGCGGGAGCCAAAACATATAGAGACGCGCGTGCGGGCGTGGGCGGAGGCGGTGAGGATGTTCGCTGGGACTGAGGCAGGTTAAGTCGGTGTCGAAGACGTGGGATTACAGTACAGCGGAGGTGGGCAAGGTAATGAAGGGCCAGGGAGCGATGGGAGGTAGCATGAGGGTACGTTCGAGAGGCTGAGGAGACAACGGGTTAGTGGGCTGAGTACCGTATGTGGGGGCAGGGCGGCGGCAGAAGTCCGTGCTGTCGCTTGTCTGTGCCGCTACTTGTTTGAAGACAAAGCCCATGCAGGGCAGGGTGGAGGCGTGTTTGTTCAGGGAGCGGGGCAGGGTTGGGGCATGGGTATGTGCTCATGCGTTCGGGTGGTTTTGGGCTGGACCATGTAGGCTGTCAGTAGTGCGGTCCATACGAGTAATCAACCCAGCAAAGAGCCAGATGCAGTCGTAAATGCCTTACGAAGGTTGGCGGCTGGAAGCTGACTGCTTGTTGCCTTTTCCTGCTACTATGGCCCACCGTTACGTAACCACCTACACGGACACTGCTTGCATCCCCACGAGCGGGCGCAGAACACTTGGGCAGGCCATGAGACCCTTCGGTCTGGACTTGCACAAGCGAGAGGTTTAACCGAGATAAAGCGAACACGAAAGGCGGGCGTTTGCACTACCTTTGTCGTATAGCTCAGCATGGCCCTGGATCCATGGCCCTGACGGCCGGGCGGCACAGACGGCCGGGCGCTAATTGCCAGGAAAGTACAGGTAACATTCACGAGGTCAGGCCATGCGATTGATTCAGTCCCGTGCTTAGACGCCGGAACATATTGTTTTCCCTGCGTCCGTGAGGTCCAAATGCACGTTAGTGCCCGGTGTCACGGTGTCCCTTGCCTACAACTCTTTCAACGTTAACGGCATGATGGTAGCTTGTTGCTAGAGTATCTTAGCCGAATACCTCCATAGCTGAGCCGCCATCAAGCTTTGCTAGGTCCAACTTTTGTTATGCTTGTTAGTAACGTTTTCTGCAGTCAGCTCGCAGCTCCTACGTTTATAGCAGCCTTTATAATATGCTTTTGGTCGATTGAAATGCGTGTATGCCGGGTCCATGAATATTGGTCATAGCCAACTTAGGATAAACGCCCAGGTGAGCCAAACCTGTCACATTGACAGCACACAAAATTTATAATCATATATACCACTGATTGATAGAGATATACCTGCAAAGGTTACTTCGGTCTGGGCATAAAATACATACGATGACCTTGGGCGGGCGCGACTTTCCGAAACGCACGCTTATGTTGTAATGCAATTAATGTAAGGGCAAGGTATACGGAGGCGCTACTTTGCGACAAAGAGACGAGCCGAGCGACAAGGCGCACTTGCGATTTGCGGCGCTGCACGTACACCACCGCATAAACGCTTAGGGGGTAAACGCGCGTTAGGATAACGTCTCGAATTTTACTCCTGGCACTTGGGCGCGGCTTGGGCCCGCGTACTGCATCCCAAGCAGTCTTTTCAGGACTGTCCTGACCCCAGACAATCCCAGACATGCGACGTCTGTCAGGGAGACTATAGTTCACACACTCATTTACGTAGTTTTGCAACGAGGAGCCATCGCCCATAGCGTTTCGTTAGGCAAAGGGTACAAAATGGGCACCTGCAAATCGCTACATTTTACGTACGCCACCACATTAACATTTAGAGGGAAGAGGACGCACGTAATTACAATTAAACACTGCCACTGGCGCACGGTATAGAGCCGCGTACGTCCTTCATCCCAGACATGTACTCCCAGACACCGATACGACATCGGCTATATATAGACTGCGAATACTAGCAAAATTTCGACAGTCGTCGACTTAGCTCTAGATACAAGAAGCCATGGCCCGCCCGTAGGGGTGGTCCGGAATAACTAATTAAATACCACGCCCACAACTACAGGTACTCCATAGTGCGGTTTCTTTGGTATCCCGCCAGAGACAATGCTTTGTTCGGCTTTCATCCCTCAAGAGAGGCGGCGGAAATCTATGGGTCGGCTTGTCCTCATTGCAGTAGGGCTAGTTGCTTTGGCAGGACTGCTAGACACGGTCTCCGGTAAGCGGTACAGAATATTTTGTATTAGGTTGTTCTATTAGGTTGTTCTCGAAACGGCCAGGTCATCAAACTTGAGCTCGTTGCATTTAGTTGTAGGGATTACTCCCTGCTGCCTCTCGGCGGCGTGCGTGCAATGCCGCAACTACTGCGCTGCTGGAAAGCGGCCCTTTCCTCACTGTGTAGATAAGATATCTTTTTCTAATTTGTCGACACAAATCGTGCAGGTGATGAATGCCCCGTCATTCCTGGCTGGTTGGCTACCGCAAATGCCGACTCTCTTCTGGGTGACCCAGCGATGGACACACAAAGCAACTGCTACCCTTTGGATGCTGGACTACACCAGCCTCCACTGGCTTGTTCCGCTGGCCTATCTTCTTGCCATGGTTTCGCAATTTACCCGTACAACAGCACCGACGGCACAGTCATGAGCGCCACTTGGTGTAGCAGGTTCACATATGACGCCAAAAACAATGGGATGAACGGAACCTGTTTCTATTCTCCGAATGTGACAAGTAAGTGTCTACGCGAAGCGCCTGAATTCGTCGCTGTTGAGGACGTCACTGGGGACACGCATTAAGACCAGATAGATCACACTAACTACCCGGAATGCATGCCTGCAGCATACTGCCCAAGTGTACCTGGATTTACGGCTATCCCGAACATGGACTACTTGAGCGGTGATGACGCAATTGACTACAGCAACATGCAAACTGCATGTGAATCCGCACCTGATCTCGCCAACTACGCCACCCAGTGCACAGCGGGTAATGGGTGCGCCGGCTTTTCGACCCATCGCCTTACTTCCAACATGACTTGTAAGCGAGGCAGCGGTATTCCCAACATCGCCAAGATCGGGGCTTGCTTTTATACGCCAGGTATGCGGGGAGTCCGCGGGCATGTACGTCATTGTATGACAGCGGCTGTCTAAATCCACACAACCGTTCGGTCGCAACTGTTTGCTGGTCGGCGCAATCGTACACACGTATTGAAGGCTCGGTGGGTAAGGCATGGCAACGCAAATGCCCAACCAGCAATCCACTACTTACCTGTCTGCCTGGCCTTACACTTATTGTTCCTCTGCTTCCACATCCATTTCTTGCTTAGTCGTCGCAACAAGTTATCCTTTCCAGCGC